GGCAAAGGAGGAGTTATTTATCTACGTAAGAGCACTTTTGGTTTTGCTTTTGTGTTTAGAGATTTTAAGAAGGAAAAAGCAAAAGACAAGAGAGAACCAACCTAATCATACACACGACAAACACCTTAAAAAGAATTTTCATGATGTTGGGCCACGGTTGCCAAACCATTTTCTTTTCACTTCCAAACTTTTTTTTTTCCAGCTAAGAAACTTTGTTGGAACGTCTAAATTAGCTTTTCAATTTTCAATTCAACCTTCATCATTTCAATGCAGAGGTTGTCTTCCGACATTACATCACCAATTTTAGTTTCCATGTATCTGCCAATTTGAATTTCACTCCGACCAAACCTTTACATTTATTGGGAATCTTAGAAGCACAACGCAACCTAAATCTTTAAATTAAAAACCTAAGTTCAACGGTGATTTCTTTTCATGTCTTCTATGAGAGTTCCAAATTTTAGCTACAGATGAAATATTAATCATACATGTATCTACCTAGTGGAGACCGAATGGTTAACATTCAGCACCGTTCGGTCCATCTACTTAGGACCATTCTCATCCGCTACAGTCAATCAAGTTAAAGATTGGGCCGCAATTAGGCTAGCGTTTAAGTTATTGGGCCAATAGTTCAGCACATGATAAAATAATCAAGAATATCTAATTAAAGATAGGGTGTTGCTCCCTTCACCACCACCCCTTGCTCCCTTCACCACCCCATTCATGTTTTACCCCTCTCTTTATTTTCCCATTTCTATTTTATCCTTAGTAAAATTTTAGGGTTAATATTTTTTAACCTCTACCTACTCCAATCCTCTACATGTATGCAACGACAACTCTTCTTCCTCTTTATCGTTCGTCCTCTCATTGTTTCATTGTGCTCTTTTTCACGTTCCACGTCTTCCTCTCATTCTTTAATTGTGATAGAATTGTGGTCTCAGAGTGTGGTGGACTTTCATTAGCTGGTGTGCTTAGTGAGAGATTGCAAGTGGTGGTGGAAGCAATTGATCAGTCGTGCCAACATCGGTGTGTGGTGGTGCTTGAAGGATTCGTCGTGAAGGTGCGTAATAAACCCTAAAGAAATAAACATAATCTTTAAACGAATGTAAGCATCCCTCAGCGGATGTCAACATCCGTTTAAGGGAAAACGAATGTCGATATCCGCTTTGCCTTAAACGGATGTTGACATCCGTTGACGGATGCTCACATCCGTTTAAAGTTACATGTTTATTTTTATTAGTTTATTTTTTTATATTAATTTTGGAGATATTTTAATATTGTAATTTATAGGTTTTGACGTATTATTTTTGAATATATTTTTGATGTATTTTGATAATGTATGTTTGAAGATCTTTATTGTTATTAGTTTATATTTATATTTTTCTTTGTATTTTGCAGTTATATATAATTAGTTTTTTGTTTTAATGTTTTTGTATAATATATATTTTTTATATATGATTTTTGTATTCTTTAACAATTTTATAATTATATAAAAAATTATTTATTAGTTTAATTATATGAAATATATAATTTTATTATATTAATATTTTTGTAATTAAAACAAACGGATGTGGTGGAGTTTGGGGGGGGTTGAGATTTTGAAAAGAGAAAGAAGGAGAGTTGGGAGGTGGAGCTGAGTGAAAAGTAAAAATGGGTAAAAAGATAGAGTTTGAGTTTAAAGTAAATAAATAGGGTTAAAAGTAAAAAAGATTATTTTTGTAATTATAATTTTTTTGCAGAAGGTTGGGGAGGTGGAGGGAGAAGTGGTGGTAGTGGAGGGAGCAACACCCTTAAAGATATTGATAAGCAGGTTATAAACAATCAACCAGATCTTTAGGTAATCTGTTTATATCTTATTCTGTTTATATTTTATTGGGCTAATGTCAGCTTAAGGTCCATGAGACAACTTATAAATAGAGAGTCGGGGCCACAAGCCAGGTACGTCCCATTCACACTCAACTCACACTTCAAATTACACGTCTAACTTGAGCGTCAGAGTATCTTTTGCAAGTATCTCCCCCTGGAGCACGAAGGAAACCGACCGGTCAAGATCGGCGTGACCGAACAACCCAGACGGAAGAAAGGCGAACGACTCAGGCGGCCCATCAAAGAACGAGCGGCAGAGTCATCCAGAAGCGGCAAAGTCACGTGTCTCAGTCCCACAAGAATATCAACCGAAACATTTTGGCGTCCACCGTGAGGCTGAGAGCAAGCAGAAGACGCCCAGATGGTGACCACGAGGAGCATGGACGGACAACAAAATACCAGAGATTTGATAGCGCATATGCAAGCACAGATACCACAGACAAGAACCATACATGTGCAGACGCAAGCACAACAAGAGATGCAACGAAAACACGCAGAGGAGATTGCGGCGCTAAGGGCGGAACGAGTCCATACCAAGCGGTCTGTCTCAAATCAAGAGAATGGAAACGAGAGAAGTCGTAATCGACAACCATCCTAGCACACCAACTTGAACGGTCGAGGAAGGAGAGGACCATCGGCCCTCCAAACCGTTCAGCCTACCAGCTTACTCCTTTTACGGCGACCATCATGCAAACTCTGATGCCAAAGAATAATCCTTCGGTATTAGAGAGGTATGATGGCTCAACGGATCCCGACAATCATCTTAGGATCTTCACCAATGCAATGGTGTTCTACACTGATAATGATCTAGTCATATGCAGAGCCTTCTCCTTATCACTCAAGGACGAGACATTGGAGTGGTATAACACTCTTCCCCCAAACACAATGGATTACTTCGCCACTGTAGAAACCCTCTTTAGAAGGCAATACGCCTCCAATCGGAAATAGGAGATAACATCGGCGGAATTGGTAAATACTAAACAGGATCCTGCCTACCACTCGGCCAAGTGGAGTCCAAAACCGAGAGATGGGGAATGTTCTACGTGAACACTAACTCTCGTCCTAAACCGAGCGGTGAGGTTCTATACGGCCTCACTCTCGTCCTAAACCGAGCAGTGAGGTTTGACACGACCTCACTCTCGTCCTAAACAGAGCGGTGAGGTTCTATACGGCCTCACTCTCATACTAAACCGAGCGGTGGGGAATATTCTTTGTGGTCCACTATTTCGCCAAGAGGGAGGAACAACTAAATACAGCCTCCCTCAAACTCATAAGTCCTATAGTTAATCACGGCTAAAGCCGAACGCTTAACTCAGACTTGGGGGCATAATGTATCATACTTAGTGGAGATCGGACGATTAACATTCAGCACCGTTCGATCCATCCACTTAGGACCGTTCGGCCCATCCGCTACAGTCAACCAAGTCAAAGATTGGGTCACAATTAGGCCAGCGTTTAAGTTATTGGGCCAATAGTCCAGCAGATGATAAAATACTTAAAAATATCTAATTAAAGATATTGATAAGCAGGTTATAAACAACCAACCAGATTTTTAGGTAATATGTTTATATCTTATTATGTTTATATCTTATTATGTTTATATCTTATTATGTTTATATCTTATTCTGTTTATATCTTATTATGTTTATATCTTATTCTGTTTATATTTTATTGGGCTAATGAAACAACTTATAAATAGAGAGTCAGGGCCACAAGCCAGGTACGTTCCATTCACACTCAACTCACACTTCAAATTACACGCCTAACTTGAACGTCAGAGTATCTTTTTGCAGGTATCTCCCCCCTGGAGCACGAAGGAAACCGATCGGCCAAGACCGGCGTGACTGAATGGCCCAGACGGAAGAAAGAAGAACGGGCATGCGGTTTATATTACATAAGAGAGAGCGGCAAAGTCATGCAAAAGCGGCAAAGTCACGTGTCTCGGTCCCTCAAGAATATCAACCGAAACATGCAATATAATTGTGATGAAATATTACTGATATACAATATGTTTTGGTATAGGGTTGAGAATTTTTACAAAACATTCATTTATATTTTTCTTTGGGTCAACTTAGATTGTCTTGAACACATTTAGTTAAATTTCTTCCATGTTTTCTATGTTCAAACTCCAAACTGTGTTATAGATATTGGTTAAAAACACTCCAACACAAGTTAATAATTTAATCAATTAAAAATTACAATAAAACTTTAAATTTGTAATAAATACAATATTTTTTCATTTTACCTTTGATTTGTATTTATAAATTTCAAAATAAATTTATAATTAACATAATCATAATCATAATCCAACTTCTAACTTTTAATAAGTAAAATTTATCTCCAAACTTGATTAGACCATTTACTTAAAGTCATGAACGGTATTTGTTGTTTTCATGCCCGGCCATCCAAAGACCGTACGAGGTCATTTGGTACAAAAGTTTAGTGTTTTGATATTTTTGGTTTAAATATTATGTAAATCTTGAAGTTTGGCAGAATGTATGTAAATATATTCTCAAGATTCTCATGGTAGATAATGCAGATCTATCCTGGTAAATCCTGCCATGCCATGGATTTGCAGTCCCGTGACAGATACTGCAGAAAAAAAACAAAAATATTTATTTGTCCTGTTTAGCGTAAAATTAATTGTATCAAAATGATCTCTTTTCCACTTTTAAACAAAAAAATCATTTGGGTTGACATCTATCAGCTTCAACCAGCTAACTCTCCGGCATTGTAAAACACTGCAGTCTCTAACCACATGGGTTTATGAGATATCTGACTGAACAAGACATTAAAAAATTTCAAAGGATTCAACAACGTCACTAAAAAAGGAAAAGATCTTTCCAATATACTCATCCTCTTCTGAACACAGCATTTTCTACAAACACTCTTAATTATACAACAAGAGATTTATACTCCCACCATGCCTTTTCTTAATTTCAGAACATCCTCCTTTTTGGTGCCTTCACGCTCTTTCTAACAATGGAACACCTTCACAAACACATACTCTAATAAGCATATAGAGCTATTTTTTTAACAAGATATCCGAGATGGATAAAATCCCATGTTCTTTCTACACCCAGAAGCCTCAAAGACTAATCCAGAGGTTGCTGCATTGCGACAACCAAGGGGCTTGTCACAGTATGTTTTCCATCAGACCAAACTATGGAACCACTCTTGACACTAGAACTTCCAGGTGTAAGCTTAACAGCCCTAGTTTGTACCCTAACAAGAAAGTTCAATTTCTGACCAATCTTCCTGAAAGTCAGGGTGTCTGGTTTCACTGTGACCACCATCCCAACTGGTGGCTTGATGGTGACCTTGTACACTGAATTAGCGTCGCCGACATTTGTTACAGTCCTGATAAAATGTGTAGACATTCTCTTCTTTCCATATTGCTGAAACACTGCAGAGAATGAAGGGTAATTCAGATTCCCAGCATGCCCTGCCCTTTTAGCTCCTTTACAATCTGCACTCTTTCTTGTGATCACATGGATGCTGTTGGTGGTGTAATTTGAATTGCACAAGAAATTCACATAATCAGAAGGGGAGATGTCATAAACCAAGCCAGGGTTCATGGCTTTAACAGGATGAACATGGCCAGAACCATAATCAAAGGCTGAGGAAACATTTCCGGTGGATTCATCCAACATGGGATCACCTCTGTTGTCCACAGTATAAGCAGTGGTCATCAGGGCTGATCTAATAGCAGCAGGACTCCAATCAGGATGTGCTGCCTTCAACAGAGCAGCCAAACCAGAAACATGAGGACAAGCCATGGAAGTCCCAGAAAGTATGTTAAACTCAGTCCTACGCCCATCAGAGGGAACCCCAGAAGGTCCTACATGATCAGGCCAAGCTGCAAGAATGTTCAACCCTGGGGCTATAACATCAGGCTTCAGAATCTCAGGGGACACAGGGTTAGGCCCTCTGGCAGAAAATGATGCCACCACAGGTGCTGGCTTAACACCGAGCCTTGTTCCCTTGAACACAATTGTGGCAGTTGCCGGTGACCGCGAATTACCAATGTACCCACGGATTTTCTCGCCCGCTGTGGCACCAACCGCCGTGGCAGGCAACACGTGGCAATCCGCCACCAACCCTTCACCGTCAAACACACCGTTGGCTAAAATCATGCCAACCCCTCCATTTTTTCTCACTTCTTCACCTTTAGCTGCCCTTGCATTAATCCCTCTATCACACACAACAATTTTTCCTTTCACAGTCTCGGGATCCAAGGAACCTTCCAAACAAAGTGAAGAAGAATAACCATTACCTCCACCGCCGCCGCCACCACCAAACTGTCCACTACCCCCATACACAATCGGGTACATCCGACCCGGAGTTAAACCAGGTCCACCATAAATACTAATCCCGGGCACTATTTTTCCATTTCCAAGCTTAACACTGGCCGGAAAATCTCTGTCTATAGTTCCAGCGCCTACGGTGGTAACCCACGGCGCCACATTCGTCACTGTGAGGCCACCGGGACCGCCATTGCCAGCTGAGGAGGAGACAAAAACGCCAGCCGAGGTGGCGCCGAAGGCGCCAATCGCAATCTCGTCGAGGTGGTACGGCACCACCACTCCTCCGACGCTAAGCGACACAACGTCGACGCCGTCGGCCACGGCAGCGTCGAACGCGGCGAGGATGTCGGAGCCGTAGCACCCGCCCATCCAGCAGACTTTATACACCGCCAACCGCGCTTTCGGCGCCATGCCGGCGGCGACTCCTTTCGCGTAACCCAACGTTGACGCCGGCGACACGTACCTTCCAGCAGCGATGGACGCCGTATGCGTGCCGTGGCCGTCGGAGTCTCTTGCCGAGCGGAACTCCACGGTCTCGTTCAACTTCCCGTTGGTGGCATCGTACCCTTCGGAGAAGTACCTGGCTCCGATGATTTTCCGGTTGCATGAGGTAGCCGGGAAGCTCTTCCCGGCGACGCACTCGCCCTTCCACTTGGCAGGAACGGGCCCCAGGTCGCGACCGCTGAAACTCTGGCGCTCCGGCCAGATTCCGGTATCGAATACACCTATAACGAGATCCGAGCCGAAATCAGTCTCGTGCAGCAACCCAGCGCGATCGGCGGTGGTGAGACCGAGGAACTGAGGGGAGCGCGTGGTGTGAAGCTGTCGAACCTGTTCGGGTATGAGAGTGATGACGTGGCTGAGCGCCTGCAGCTTCTGTGCCTCGGAAGGTGAGAGCTTGGCAGAGAAGCCGTGAAAAACGGTGTCATAGGTGTGGATAACGGAAGCGGTGCTGGAAATGGAAGACAGTGATGACTCATACCAGTGTCTGTGTGTTGGGAAAATCGAAGGCTTTGTTTGGTGATGAACTTGGACAATGAAAGTTTTTTTCTTTTCTTGGTCGGAAGAAAAAGCAACCTGTGTTAGAGTTCCTACGAGAAATAGAAAAACTAAGAAGGTGGAAAAGGCAGCCATGGAAGTGGTATGCGAGGTGAAGTGAAGGGAAGATGGAAAATTTAAAGGGAAAAAAGTATGTAGATGAGAGAGTGCATGTGTTGTGTGTGGTGGAAGAAGAAGGAAAGGGTTAATGAATTAGTATTATAATTATTTGTATTGTAGTGTAGTGTAGGGTAGCAGTAGCATGGTACTCTTGCTGAGTGTAGTAGAACAATGGTGGGATGTGTGCAGTGGTAGGAGTTTTCTGCCATGTGGACTTCAAATTCAAATTGAAATTGAAACTTTTGTAGGTATCTTCATCTACTGTTGTTACAGTTTCAATGTTTGCCCTTGTTTCACACAGAAAGTAGAAAACAGCTGTTCAGATTACGTTCACCCATACGTCTTAGGATTTTTTTTTAATAAAACAACTCCTGTCAGTAACCGGAAAACAACAGTGGTTTTTGCACACTTTAACAATGTTCTTTATCTGTAAGATTCAAATTTTAAATCTCGTTTTTGTTTAGATAAACTATTTATCAGTGATTACACGTAGAAAAGTGTTGATAGTTGTGTCACAATTGCTTCTTCTACTTAATGTTTTGGTCCAACCAGCTTTGGCAATTAATGCTCCCATAAACAAGTGTGGCCCAGAAATTGGGTCCATCGAGTACGTTAAGCTACCCTAGCAGAGGACTAAACTAAGACCCACCCTCCCCAGGGGTCCATCAGGTACCCTCTACACCATTACACCAAGGTAAAATTTATGTTCAAAATCACCTCTCACCTAAAACACAAGGTCCATCTTTGCATGCATGCCCTTTATATAGTTTTCTTCCATAATCACTTTCTTTTCTCATATAAACAAACAGTGTGGGTTCATTATTTATTTTTTCATCAAAAAGTGATCAGTAACTTTAATTTAATGGATATTATTTGGGTTTATAAAGTCGAGGTTAAGTTTACTTCTCTACAATTTTTCAATCGAATTAGGATATTATTTGAAAAAATACTCTAATATTAAAGTTAATGTTTATCTAATAGTGTTAACAATGAATACATAGTTAATATAACCAAATGAATGTTAAATTTTTATTTATAAATTTTAAATAATCTTTTTATTGTGCTGGTTTAATTAGGATTCAAACAATAATGATATATTTTGTAAGTAAAACAATTATTTTTATTGTTAATTTTATTTATAATTCAACCTATCAGTTTAGTGACTAATTCATTGACCAACTCATGTTGTTCATCGTTGTTAAAACTTATAGAATAGAAGATAAAGATTGATATATAAAAGGTTTTTTTTTTTAAGAATCTTATGTTATCTATAGACACTGTTGCTTTTTTGGAGAGACACTTTGGTTAATTAGTTAGTGATATGAGGATAGTATATTAATCAGTTTACAAGGTGACGATAACTGACAGATACGACAGTTTGGAAAGGAATACATGTTGAAATCTTGTGACCTTTTGTTGCAGGCCCATCCATGCGCAATATCTGAATGCAAAATGAAAACGTGGGAAAAAAAATGTTTTTTTCATTTTCAAATGAACTCAGATGAGAGAAAAAATTAATATTTTCATGATACATTAGTTTTAGTATTTCAAATTATATTATCTTTTAATATATCAAAATAAATATATTTTAAAAGTTCAGAAAAAACACAAGAAAAATTAATAGAAAATTTAGATTCCTCTTAACGGACAAAACGTTGACGAGGGATTAACGGACAGTACGATCTTGAAAGATCGTGACTGCAGGTGTTGTTGGACCGGTTATGGTAGGTTGGTAAATCAGTTTTTAAAATTTTGATTAAGTATAAAAATTTCATCAAGAATTGTTAGTAATTTTTTACACATATTAATTATAAGACTTTACACATTAAATTTGATTAAAAAATACATATAATTCTCCATTTATATTTAAATTAGCGTCCAATAATTAAACGAAAGTATAATAAAAACAGACAATTAAAAAAGTTTATCAGATGGTTTAACACTTGCCATCAAATGTTTTCAATCATTATCAAAAAAAACTTGTCCATCTCTTCTTTATCGAAAAAATAGAATGTAAATCTATTATGTAGAGTATGCCGTGGAAAAGCTTTAGCTATCCGAATTAAGAGTTACGAATTAAAATCTATCGTAACAAAATTTATATCAGAATTATAAATTGTTATTAATTAATGTTGGATAAATTTAAATTTAAATATAATTTTTTTTAGTTTTTGTTCTTATATGGGTCGAGTCACCTAAGTCTTCACTTCGTGAGATTCTTTTCTCTGTTGTCCAAAGTCCGTTCGTTCTGTCCGTATGGGAGGATACTTGTGAAAGGTGTTCCGATACATAAGTCGGTAATGGTCCCATCAATTGTTTAAGTGTTACAATAAATGCGTAATTAATGAATCTGACTATCTCTTACCTTTGACCTATATTTATAGTTTTGATCATGGGTCTAGAATTAGCAAGACCTTAATTACGGTCCAATCCATAGCTCAATTTTTTAATCAGTGTTTTACCTTAATCACATCCGGAGACTTATCTGTCATGACTATTCGATATGGATGATTGAAACGTGTCTTTCGTCCTATGTGTTTGTCTGGTGTTACAATTTTTATTTTTATTTTAGAGTGGTCCAAGCTGTTGGTGTTGTATTTAGTTTTTATTCTGTTAGATGTGTGTCACGTCTAGATTTAATTGTGAAATAATTGATTAATATCTATGTATATATATTTGATTATAATAAGTCTTGAATTTTGATGAGCATGATATCTGGTGTTGTGTTTCTAAAACAAGTGCGCAACAAACTTTTTCTAGAAAGAAAGGACTTAACATAATGATCTTCTTCATTGAATCGGGGTTGACGGTGACATGTTCTTGGCAAAGTGTTGGTTTTTCTTTGGTGTCTAATCTTTGTTGATCGAAACTAAAGCGATCATGTGGTGGGGACCTAAAATCGAACAACCTTCTTTTTCTTTTTCTTTTGCATCTCCCTTTCAATTTCAAACACTTGGACAAAAGAACATCCAAATTCAACTCTCTTTGTCTAAACAGTGAAAGGAGAATTTCGATTTTATATTACCCTATTTGCAGTAAAAATGGTTAATCAAGGGGAAAAAGCCAAAACGTGTTATCATGCATGCACAACGGAAACTGCCTCTACAGTGAAAGGACAATTTTTATTTTATATCACTCTTTGGGGAACGGAATATTATAATTGGTTGGTACAAATAAAAGCCAAAATATATCACCATGCAGGAAAAAGTGCAAGAGAGAAAGAAAAAGTTTTTAAATTTAAGAGGAAAGTAGGAAAAGAGTAAAAAGTAATCACCAAAATAGAGAAATCAAAAAGAGAAAGATGGTAAAAATACAATCTTGGCTATTAAATCGGATATGGGGTTGCAAATATTGTATGCAATCATTAGGAATCTTGTAATTATTATAAGTACAAGGGTAAAGTTTAATTTGGACTGCTAAGATTGAGTTTTAAATTAAATAAGGATAAATAAGGCTAAAACCATCAAATGTTGGATTAGGAATTAGTCTTGCCATTAAAACAACATTCATTATTTTTCTAAAATTAGTATTATATTACTTTTAAAATTTGTAATTATTTATTAATATATATATAAAAACTAAAATTTTCATTATTATTAACATAATAAAATAAGTCTGTTGATAAAACCAAATTAATCGATGAATTTTGAAATTTGAATTATTGACGATAATATCTCTCAATAAATTGTTTTGGTAAATTATGATAAAAATTTTCGTCTCTAATGTATTATAATGATTATTATAATTCTTTAGTAATTATTGAAATAAATTTTACTAATAACTAATATTATTGAGGGATTTATATGGGTTGATAATTACAGAAAATTTGTACATATATAGTAATATTTGTTATATATTATATTTTTCTTTTTATTTGATAGGTGACAGCGTGTGTAATTGAAGAAGGTTGTCAATCTTGTATTCTTTATGTTGTTTAATGGCAGAGTCAATTATTGGGTTCTAATCTTTTACTAACTTGTGCCAATCAGCCACACGTTTTGAGAGTCATGATGACAAATATCGATATCTAAACCAACCTTTTGCATCATTCAAAGTGTATATTACAGTAATATATTAGTTAGGTCTGAGAGCCATGCCTGCATATTCAATCACTTTTATGACAGTCTCTACAAAACAATTAATACCCCACTAAACACAGGGCATAATAACTCTTCAAAATATTAATTCTTTTTTTAACCTATTAAGATTATTTGCTATGTAAAAACATCCTTATTAATTGCTTAATATTTGTTTAATAAATGTTTTTCAAATAAATTACTTTTTATTTTGTTTGATTTCTCCTTTCTTCAATTTTTTTATGAAATTAAAAGCCATTTGATTTATTACAACAAGGACGACATGGCAAAGTAAAGGTGATGAAAAGTTTACTTTAATTAGGTGCTTGAAATATTAAAGGTTAAATATTTATTTTCCTCCTATAAAAATGTTTTGTTTTCCAATTATATTGTAAAGTATTTTATAATGTATTTTGTAAAATCATATTAAATATCCGTTTCATACTTATTTATATATGTTTTTCACCTATGTATTAGTTTCAATTAAGATTATCTGATTATTTGATTTTAGTTTTGTTTGATTGGAAATAGAGTAGTGTAAAGTGTTTATGAATATAAATTAATTTGTTAAACATTAAATTGTATCTATAAATTGCTTGGGTATAATAATGTTAAGTACTTATTTTATCCTGAATATTAGAAGTTTAGAGTTAGAAATGACAAAAATGGATCGTAGCAATTTGTGTAAACAGATAAATTAGATTGAAATTTTAAATTCATTAGTCTATTTTTCTCCTGGTTCACCTGAGTCACTAAATTATATATGTCAGTCAATCTCGACCTGTTGACATTTTTTTAAGTTAAAAATAAAAATAATGTAAAATATTAAAAAAATGTATCATATTTTTAAAATGTAAATATACAATAATATTATAATTAAAATAAATTATAATAAAATAATTTAATAGGTAAATATTAATATGTTTTATAATATCGTTAATTTGACAGACAAACTTTCAAACCAGGTGCAAGCATGATAAGAAATCTACGAGGATTTTGGCCCAAATAAATAAATGAAGATCACATATGAAACAGGTTAATTAATCAGAAGTCAAAGCAAGATAAAATCAGTTTATTCAGAAAAACAAAATGCTAAATATATACTTAA